TTGTCTGCACAGATCATGATGTTTTGACGCCAGAGAAAAAGAAAATTCTTGTTGAGTGGATTTTGCCTGAGGCTGCCAAGCTGCACTCTGATCGCCTGCTTGTGAAGCCTCTGCAAAGTCCTATTGTCGTGCCTACCTTTAGGCCAGAGAATCTGTGCTCCAAGTTTACAGTACCACAAGAGCATAAAGGCAAGGGTGTTCCAGAGGCTGATATAGTGCTGTATGCTGCTGCTGCCCCAACACGGTTGGGAACATTCGCATGGGCGGCAACATGTGCGACATTAGGTCGTAATGGTCGTCCAGTTGTTGGGATCATTAATTACGGTCCACGGTATATTGTGGCCATACCACAGCGTGTCCGCGTTGCTGCTCATGAGATTGCTCATGCACTTGGATTTAGTGCTGACGTAATGGATGAAAAGCGAATGGTTGAATCGGATGAGATATATCCCGGAGGACCGCAACAACTTTATGTGGTGTCCCCAAATACACGTAGAGCTGCGAGAAAACACTTTGGTTGTGGCTCTCTTGAAAGTGTGGAACTTGATTTTAATGATTTTTCCGGATCCGTCAGATCAATAATGTCTGGTTTACACACCAATCGGACGCTATTACGCACAGAAATGATGTTGTCAAGGAAACCCGTGAATCAAAAGCTTAATGGGATTGATGTAGTTCCTGCTGAGGAATCTAGCTCTTCTTTTCAGGGGCCTCAGGTTGTGGAAAAGTATAAATTGCCTCTGGAGAGCATGGGATATTCTTCTCACTGGAGTCGTCGTATTGCAAAGGATGAGTTAATGGTTGGTCTCATCGGTGCTGGGTACTACACCGCAATTACAATGGGAGCTTTCGCTGATCTGGGCTACTACAAAGTTGAATGGGCGATGGCAGAGCAGATGAGTTGGGGCAATAACTCTGGTTGTGGATTGCTGGAGAAGAAATGTGTGGAGGGAGGCAGGACTAAATTCCCCGATATGTTCTGCACCTCCAAATCTACTGAGGGACCTGCAGGACTACAGTGCACATCTGACCGCCAGTCGCTGGGGAGGTGCAGCATTCAAACCCATAGGAATCCCCTTCCAGATCACTTCCAATACTTTTCAGACGGTAAATTGGGGGGCAACAAAGCTGATCTAATGGACTATTGCCCTATTATCGTGGGAAAGCGTGAAACGAGCTGCACCGATGGGGAGAAGAGCAAAATGCCTGGAAGTGTAATTGCTGCCAACTCGCGCTGTGTGCAGGGGGAGAATCTAAAGGCCAAAAATGCAGCAGTTGGTGCCGTGTGTGTGGAGGTTTCTTGCAAGAAAAATGAGGTAAGTGTGCGGTACAGTGGAAACAATGAGTGGTACAGTTGTCCTGAAGGAGGAAGACTAGCTGTGCAGGGGACTGTACTGCAGGGTAAAATTGTGTGCCCCAAATACGCTGACGTGTGCAACACAATCAACAGAGTTATTGATAAAGAGCGAGGCCGACCAATGAAACTCGGTGCGTACGTGGATCATGGTAACGATGGACGCAGTGATGGTAGTGTGACTGCTGCTATTTTAGTGCC